GGGGGGGGGGGGGGGGAGGGAGCGAAAGGTCCCTCAGCTCCCCTCCCTGGATTCGCCAATGGCCTGGAACTTGATGCTGAGGAGATTAGCAGTCTTGGATGTGATACCTAGGACCTCATATGGACGAGGAACTCAGTACTGGAGTTTCCGCAGCCCTAGCTCGAATCCTAAAACGCATAAAATGGGACACGTGTTGCACTACCAGGCCTGGCGGAGGCCGATTTTTAGTAGTTGCCCTCTGTTCAGGAGAGAAGTTCCATGTTTTTGGCCGTTTGGTCCCCTCTCGTTGACGTAGTGCTCGTTTGTAATGGCAGGAAGGTATTCTGGGTACCGTTCGTGCAGGAGTTCCTAGGGGTAGCGGGCTTGTTGTGTAAGGGTACCCAGATCTGCTTGCGGGATGGCCTCTTGTTCATCATGTGTGGATATCCGGGATGTTCGGGCAACCAGTTGGCACCTCTTGTTTCGCGTAAACTCCTGGAATTTATTTAATGTTGACGTGCATCCCTTGTATGATCTCTTTTTTTGGAAATGTTTATAATACATGCTGGTTTCACCAATAAAGTAATTGCCTTTCGGTGATTTTCCACTTCTTTGGGGATAGTCCAACCCTTTTATTGTATTTTTATGCCTTTTGCACCGTGTAACAGCAGCACAAAACATATATTGTCACGAAGTTGTCTACGTGTATTAGTCTTTAAATATGCGTGTATGTGTGTGTTTGTTTATATGTGTGTGCGTGTGTGTGCGCGTGTACGTGTGAGTGTGTGTGTGCGTGTGTGTGAGTGTGAGTGTGTGTGTGTCTATGCGTGTGTGCATGCGTGTATGTGTGTGTGCGCGCGCGTCTTTGTGTGCGTGGGTGTATGTGTGCATGTGCGTGCGCGTGTGTGTGTATGTGTGTGCGTGTGTGTTTCTGTGTGTGTTTGTGTGTGTTTCTGTGTGTGTTTGCGTGTGTGTGTGTGTGCGTGTGTATGTGTGTATGCATTTTGTTCCGTACGTCCAACTAATGAAGCGAGGAAGTGAGACGCTGAAATTTTGGTGGAATATTCCCCGGCCAACATGTCACCCCGCAAATGTAAATTCAGCATTCCTGTGCTCACGGATAGTACGTACGGCCACGTAAAAATTTTGGCGAGAAAATTATCTCGGGAACCAGGGAAGCTAGGAGATAAAAATTGTATGTGACCCAGAAAATTTAAATTCAACTTCTCTGGGACAACTACAGTGCCGCGAAAGTTTTGAAGTGAAAAATTATTATCTGGGAAATCGCGGAAGTTAGAAAGCTGAAATTCTGTGGGTATGTACCCTGCCCAGGTGCCACGTCGTAAATTTAAATTCAGCTTTCCCGTACCCATGGGTAACAGTGTGGTCCCGTAAAAGTTTTGGCAGAGCAATTATCTCAAGAGCCGGAAGAGCTATAAGGTTTTTTTGCCCTATGTAGATATCAGGCAAACTCAAATAATGCCATAATTCTCTAATTAGTATGCCACAGAACTGCACTACAGTTAATAACACACCTAATTTCTCACTTTTATAGCATTTTAAATAACACGGAGGAGGAAATTTCACCGTCCTAACTCCCAAGCATGCCGTGGGTTTACCTCCAACCACATAAGTGTTTTGGTGCGAAAATCACTGCCTTGAAACCAAAAAACAGGGAAATTGGGGAGGTGTTACCGGTCCAAAGTTTCAGATCAGCTTTTATGTGCCGGCTCGTGAAATTATCAGCGGTGGGTTTCGCGACTTAGGAACCAGACAACATTTCACAATGAAAATCCTTAGCAGGCGAACGTCCGCTGAACAGATCTGCGAAAAACGCATGATTTCACCGGCTATCTTGGTGCGCGCCGCTATTTATTTCAATTTTGAATTTTCACGTTTTGAAAACGTTCTCGTGGCTTGTTTCAGCTCTTCCCAATCATCATCGGTTTGTGCGATTCCTCTGCTACACTCATCTCCTTGCCTCTCATTTGGGCTGACCGGGGGAAAATGCACGTTCCGTTCGTCGTGCGCGATAAAGTAGCAAGCCGTTTGTAGCATCGATGTTGAGGGGTGCCAAAATAAGGGAAGTGTATATAGAGGGGAGAAAAATAGTAGGAGAAAAGCCGTTTCTTATTGTAACAGTGAACTGAGGGTCCGCAAAGCATGCGCGAGATGTTCTTAACGCTAAGGGACAGTGATATTTTTTTTTTTTGCAGTTAACGACAACGACGCACAATGACGGCAATTGGTGTTCCGATCAAAATTTTGCATGAGGCAGAGGGTCACACTGTCACACTGGAGACAACTATCGGCGAAGTGTACCGTGGCAAACTCACTGAGGTCAACTTTTTGTCATAGCCTTTAGTGAGCTTTTAATAACTCACACTGCACCGGACCGAGCTTGCCGGTGCGATCACGCGTTTTTGCGCCAGACTTGCACATCGCTAACAGCAGGAATCGTTTCTGCACTGTAGCCCAGCATTTTGACTCATACTGGCTCTGTTTTGACCTCTTTTTTGGCATGCAAGGGGAGAGAGCATCGGTTGAGATGAAGGTGTTGCATTATGAGGCCACGTGGACCTCCAGGTACATGATTATCAGTTTTTTGCATGTAGCCCGGTCGTTCTTCCAGTAAATGTTTGCTCTTTGAAAAAATGCAAACTTGAAAGAAGTCCGAAGAGGATTACGAAATTGCAAAATGCACCCCCTTTTGAGTTTGCGATAAAATTGAGCATGTGTCAGCTCTACGTACAAGGAATTTCATTTCCAAACCGGATTAAGACCACACGTGAATACGAAATACCGTTGCAAGTTTTAACTTCGCAGCTTGTTTGGTGAGCGAAACAGCCACGTCGCTACAAATATCTTTGAAGTGTCCCGAGTCGTGGCACAAGTGCAAATGGAAACTTAGTTTGTATAGACTTTGTATATGAATATTAAATATTTTAAAAAAATGTCAGCTATTGTTTTTCGGCTAGCTTTCGAGTTAGCACATTGCCAGCTGCAAACTTGTGACCGTACGCGTGGTGTAGACGTGCGCGGTAACTGAATTTGGAATCTTTAGCTCATAAATGCACCAGGAACATTCAAACTTCCAGCTTTTTGTTTTGATTGGTTCACGAAATCGTTACCTGTGAAAGAAATTTTGCATATTTTTTCGGAGATCTGTAGGCAAGATCTAGGCGCGTACGGGCGATGACTTTAAAACAGGAGAGTGACACATGGGTTGGGAATGTGCCCCCAAAATTTCAGCCTTCCAGCTTTCCCGACTGATGAATTGAAAGTGGGTGACAAAGTTCACTCGCTTACGGACATGCACGCACACGGATGATCTCTCGGCAACATGCGTTTTTGTTCACTGTAGAAGCGCTGCACAGTAAAAATGCATAAAAATCACAGCTTTTCCCATCGTATTTTTAACTTTATTTTTTTATATTTCCCTTCCTTTCCAGTTGCATGAATCCTTCCCCTGTCTTTTCGAGTGTGGGCTCCCCGTCATAAGGCTCCGAGAAACCGTTAGGTTATTCATCCCTGTTTTCATCGTCTCCAAATTCCTCTCGCGTCTCACCTATTTTGCGTCTTTGTTTGCCTAGATAACTGCCGTGATCGTATCCCTCGTCATTCTGGAACTGAAATTGAGTAAGACTCAGGATTGGCTTGACCTTTGATTAGCCAGTCCATCTGCCAATTCGAGAATGGTGAGGAATTTTAATTTTAATTTTAGTTAGTATGTGTTTATGTAAGATGTAAGGAAATAAAAAAGAAAATGTGAATAAGTTAAAATTAAAATCTGAATGGAAATGTTTCAGTCCATCAAGTCGCATACATTCCTATTCAGTGCTACCGATACCGCCAAAATAATCAGTCGGGAGGCCAATAATGTTACTAAAGTGTTTCTGCATGCTGGGCATAGCTGTACCAGGCTCTTCGATCTTCAGTTAGCAATTCCAGTTGGTATCCATCGCATGTTTGATAAATTATGCGCCGGTATTTAAGAAAGGGGGAGGGGAGGGAGAGTCTGGTAAGGGGGATCTGTTTAATTGCATACTTCCTTTTGGGCGAAATGCGAAGTGGAGGGGACAGAGCCATAAATAGTAAGGGTGTTTGGTGGGTGATGAAATGAAGTATGCGATAGGAAACGATTTTGTGATATGTGAAAAGAGAGGTAAATTTTGCGAAAGATGTGTTTATTTAGGCCGAAGATAATATGAACTGCCAGATGAGCGATGTGACAGTGACATTTCGCGATGGGCGAACTCACCATTTGGATAATGTGTTTATTCGGGGATCGAAAGTCCGCTTCATGATTCTACCGGACATGCTGAAGAATGCACCAATGTTCAAAAACATTGGTCGGGCGCAAAAAGGAGCTGTTGGTATGGGGATGGGCGACAATCGCGATGGACGTGGTCTTCGAGGTAATAGATTTTCGAACTGTTTTT